GGATTTTAAGAAAAAATTAGCAAGCACTCGTGTAATACACGGGTGTTGTACTAGTTTATTTTATTTTAATTTATTTAAAAATTACAATTGTGTTCTAAAATATACCAAGTGTGGTCTCTATTTGTAAAGAATGAAAAAATAGTAATTTTAGTATTTATTTTTATTTTTTTAAATAACAAAAAAGTACACCTATTTAATAAAAATAGGACAAGTGTCCCATTTTTTACACAAGGACCGGTCGCGACCCGAGGCCACAACGTGACCTATGTCGCACAAGTTATGACCTTTTTTTTTTTTAGTTTTTCTTTTATTTTTATTTGGTTTTATTGCCGTGACCTAGGGATGAAAACGATCGGAAACGATCGGCATAGGGCTCAACCATTTCCACTTTCATATTTTTTTCTCGAAAACGAAAATGATACGATAATATCGATAACGAAAACGACATTGGTATTCCGGTAATATCGAAAACAAAACTATCCGATCGAAAATACATCGATAACGATCGAAATATATTAAAACGGTATTTAAAAACGATAAACACACCACATTATAAAATATAGCATTAAAACATTAATTGAAATATTCTCATGGCATAATAGTAGCAAAATCCAAATTAAAATCCACACCATTTGCTATAACAAAATCCATACAAATTCCAATAGCAAGCAATTGAACTGTGACTTGTCCACCAAATTCTCATGGAATAATAGCAGCAATTGAAATTTGAAACATGAAATGGGAGCATTTAGGTGAGAAATCAACCATGGAACCACCAAATCCACAAAAAAACCACAACAAATTTCGAAAATGTGAGCTTTATAATTAAAAGTGAGCCTAGTATGGGTTGGGCCGGTATTATCGACGTTAAAATACCGTTTAAATACGGTAATATTCGAAAACGATCGGAAAAGGGCTAAACCGTTTTCCTTTTCATTTTCGATTTTTTTTACTGTTTCCATTTCCGTTTTTCCGGTTACCATTTCCGTTTCCGTTTAGCCTCCAAGTCCGAAAAAATTTCGGAAACGATTCCCGATAATCGGAAATTACCGTTTCCGTTTTCATTTAAAAACAAGTTTTCAGAACATCCATTTTCTGTCAGAAACATTTATCATAGTAAAATTGAATTGTTTTATTCGGCCGAATATAACTCGAGGTGAGAGCCTATCCCTGCAAACATAGGGAATTGTATCGTGTCCTTATAGCCGCCAATAAGTCCTCTGTCTCATGAAGGTGCATTTCGAGTCCATCCCAATCTAGAGATGCCCACGGGCCGAACCGGTCCCGGCCCGGCCCGGCCTCACAAGGACCTGTTGGTTGAACTGGACCCTTAAGTTCGCGGTCGGTCCTAGTTCAATTTTTTTTTTTCGGTCCGGGTTGGGCTGGGGCGGGCCACGAATCGGACGATGAGCCCGAAGTTATTTTTTTAAAGGGCCGTACCAGCCCGTGAATCGGCTGGGTCGGTGAACCGCGGTCTGGGTCTGTTCTATGAATCGACCCATATAAATGAACGGGCCGGTCGCGGGCCATGAGATTGAGGCCCGTTGACCCGGGCTGGGTCGGGCCGCGGTCCGGCAATTGGCCACGTCTATCCCAATCCAAGTAAATAAAATAAAACAAAACCGCATCAATCCCCAACATCTATTAATCTATCTACTCCTCACCTCAATCAAAAACATTCTTCAAGTCCCTTGCAATACAAAAACAAAATGTGTTTTGCTGCTACCATGTGCTTCCTCCTTCCATTTCCTCTGTTTCTTGTCACACTCTTTCTCCTTTCCTTGTTCAAGAGTAGCAAGAACTCACCCATGACCGAAAGCAAACTCCCACCAAGCCCTCCAAGGCTTCCCATCATAGGCAACCTACACCAACTTGGAAGATTGCATCACCAAAACCTATGGAAACTTTCCCAACAACACGGCCCCATCATGCTACTAAAGCTCGGTACCGTACCGACTCTAGTCGTCTCGTCGTCTCATTACGCGAAACAGATACTCAAGCAACACGACATTAGCTTCTGTTCCCGGCCGAGCTCGCCGGGAACGAAACGCCTTTTCTATAACTGTTCGGATGTGGCCTTCTCGCCGTACGGTGACCACTGGCGCAACGCGCGCAAGGTATTCGTGGGCAGTCTCATGAGCGGGAAAAGGGCCGAATTTTTCGCGCGGGCGAGGGAGATAGAAATCGGCGGCTTCGTCGATTATCTGTCCGCGGTCGAGACGAATCCGATCGATCTCGACGAGATGATTTTCGACGTGATTGGTGGGATTGTTGGTAGAGTTGCATTTGGCAAGAGCTATAGATGGAAAGAGTTTGAGGGAAAAAAGTTGAAAGGTGTGATGGATGAGGCTATGCAAGTGATTAGTAGCTTCTCGGCCGAGGACTTCTTTCCGTTCTTCGGTCGGTTTGTGGATCTAGTAAGTGGGCACAAAGCGAGGTTGGAGAATTGCTTTCGTACGATCGACGGATTCTACGAGATGATTCTTAACGAGCATTTCAATCGGCGGGATGGTTGCCGGGAAGACGGTGACGAGGAGGAGGAGGAGGAGGACTTTGTTGATGTGTTGATTGGGTTGTTAAGAGAGAAAAATGGTCTTCTCCAAAGCAAGGAGCATCTCAAGGCTTTGTTGATGGTAAAAAAAATATATTGAAACTTGCAAATTTCATTGGCTCTATTTTTTTTTTCTTTACGTTTTTGAAATATTTGGATTGTAAGATCCTCTTGTCTTGTTTTGATTGAAGAACACATTTCTTGGGGGAGTCGACACGAGCGCCATAATCTTAGTGTGGGCGATGTGCGAGCTCATAAGAAACCCGCTGGTTATGAAGAAGGTCCAAAGAGAAATACGATGGAAGCTAGCAAGGAAAACGAGAGTGGAGGCTAACGACATTGATGACCTAACATACACGAAAATGGTCGTTAAGGAAGTTCTGAGGTTACATCCACCGGCGCCATTTTTGGTGCCCCGTGAATGCATGCGCACATGTAAGATTAGCGGCGAGAATGGCGAGGTTTACGATGTCTACCCCAAGACAAGAGTTCTCGTCAACGCTTGGGCGATCGGGAGGGACCCAAACAAGTGGAGAAATCCTCACGAGTTCTGTCCCGAACGATTCGAAGGAAACGACGTCGATTTTAGAGGGCAGCATTTCGAGTTTTTGCCGTTTGGAGGTGGTAGAAGGATTTGCCCTGGCATAAGCAACGCCCTAGCAACTGTTGAGTTGACATTAGCCAATCTCTTGTATTGGTTCAATTGGGAAGTTCCTAAAGGTATGGAGTTGGAGGATGTAGCTAGCTTGGAGGAAGAAGGTGGAATTACTGTCCATAAAAGAACACATCTTACTCTAGTGCCCATCAAGTATAGTTTTGAGACATGTCCTTGAACCGGCCCGCGAACCGGTCCCGACCCGATACTTTAATGTTGTGTAAACTGTAAATGCTGT